TCTTCCGGGTGCGCTTCAAGGTGTTGGTTCTCACCTTTAAAGCGCTCCATGGCTTAGGGCCAGGGTATTTACGAGACCACCTGCTGCTACCGATAACCTCCCACCGGCCAATACGCTCTCACAGAGAGGGCCTCCTCAGGGTGCCGTCAGTCAAGCAATGTCAGCTGGCAGCCCCCAGGGGGAGAGCCTTCTCTGTGGGAGCACCCGCCCTCTGGAACAAGCTACCTCCTGGAATACGGCTGTTTCCGGATCTCTGCACTTTCCGTAAGGCCCTGAAGACGTTTTTATTTCAACAAGCCAGCCTGGCCTGAATAGGTTTTAGGGGTTAGTTTTTTTAATTGTATTGCTAGGGGTTTTAAATTGGGGCGGCTGTTTAATTTAATTTATTTTTAATTATTTTAACTTTTATATTGTATGTTATTTTAATTCTCAGCTATTCACTGCCCTGAGTCCCTTTGGGGAGAAGGGCGGGATATAAATTTAATAAATAATAATAATAATAATAATAATAATAATAATAACAACAACAACAACAACAACAACAACAACAACAACAACAACATGTATGTGCGCACGCCCACAAGCGAACTGGTAGTGACGGGATTTGAAACCCACTACTGAACCACATGACATCCTCACTTAACATCCTGCAGTGATTCGCTTAACAATGGCAATCAGGAGTGCCAGAACTTCCATCGCTAAGCAGCACCGTTTCATGACTTCATGCTTTATGACCATATAACTTAGTGATGGTAATTTCGGTCCCAATTGCCATAGTTAACTGAGGATTGCCTTTATCAGCAGACTAAAATACATATATTTCTCATGATGGTAGGGAAACCTGTGAACAGGGAACCTATATACTAATCTCTAGTTTTATGGACTATAATTTTTTCCAAATAAATAACATCTTCAGGAAGAAGACAACCCAGTAATAATTAGAGCATGACAATCTTAAATCCAATGTTTATAAGATACATATACATAGTCTGAGTTCAAATATTGTAGCTTGCCTATGATTTAGTCACCAGGCCACCGTGAATTCCAAACTCCAATTTGTGGCTTATCATGGTATGCTAAGCAAAGATATTGGGATTTACTGAGCAAGCTAAAGTTTTAAGTAAATCACAGCTTAGGATGGTGTCATAAGGCTATATTCAACCATGTCATTCCACTGGTAGTCCGAGCTCCTACTTACATAGGGCAATTTTCAAGAGTTGTCCTTTTTGCCTCATTAATAACAGTAGCCTCATTAATAATTGGAAAACTTCAGAAGTGCTCTGGTGACAAGCAGCAGAAGGGGAGGATAGAATGGAAAGAGCCAGCACAGATATGTTACTTGCTGGACTCCACATCGGCATAGAAAACATCCAGTCCTTAATTAGCGGAGAAGAGATTTCTCACCTTCTGGATAATATACATAATATCTATCACTTGGAAAGGTCACAAGTGAAAGATTGCCCAGCACTGCAGAACTCCTCCTTTTCTTTCAACAGTATTAGGATAACAGTTTCTGCCAGTCACAGTCTTCTTTGAACTATTTTCCATACCCAAAAATCCAGCAAATGAATAATATACTTTCTGTGTCATCCTGCAACACACAATCACTGCAACTGAAGAAGAAAGATTTGATGAGGATATCTACTCCTTTTTTTCCCCAGCAACAAACCTGAGATACAATTTTTCTAGCTCGGTACAATACTATAATTAAGGCTTTCTCTATTAACAGCATGAATGGATCAATTACAATGGTTTTGCATGAGAACCCTGATAGCTGATCAAGAGTTTCACAAAAGAACTTTAAAGTTCCTTGAGGATTGGAAGCTTCTTCTCTCCATCCTTTGAAAATAATACTTACTGGCTAATAAGAAAGATTAAATAACAGTGTACAGCCAGTCTGAAATTGGGCAGAAGGATCTAGGTCCGTGATGGCACGCAGCACCCTCTTTGATGGCACACGAGCCGTCACCCCAGTTCAGCTCTGCTGTGCATGCGCATGTGCCTCCTGCCAGTCAGCTTGTCTTCGGGTCTCTGCTGCGTATACGTGGGGGGTGGGGTGCATGCGGGGGCACACACATGCATGGGGCTGAATGCAGGGGACGCGCACATGCATGGGGCAGAGCACATGTGGGGGCGCTCATGCATGTGCGGGGGGCAGGGTGCATGCATGGGGGCACACACGGATGCATAGGGGGCACACACGTATGTGTGGAGGTAAATGTGGGGGCACATTGCATTTTTGGGGTTCGGGCGCACACACCCGCACACTTTGGGCACTCGGTCTGGAAAAAGTTAGCCATCACTGATCTAAGTGGACAAAGCTAACTAGATCACTCCTGAAATGCAGCTACTCTCCTTACAACAGGGTTGGGCATGAGTCATACTTCGATGAAAGACTACACCAGCTAATCTGGGTAATTGGACAACACTTAGAAAAGTCAATGGCAAACCATTACTGTTGCCAAGGAAACTGTATGACAGCTGTATGAAGTCACCAGAAGTAGAGCTTGACAGGAAAGAGATGTTACTGACTGTTTTGGGCACCAGTTTGTTCCAAACTTTTATATATGTGTATTTGTAAATAAACAGGAATTAGAACCCTGTTCTCTTATTCCCTCTCACTTAAAATGAAATGAAATCTCGTAATTCTGCTTTAATCCACAATACCTTGGTTAAAACAAGAACCCTACCAAACAAAAAATCACCAGCAGAATCACCTAACTTCCTGGCTCAAATCTCTGGGGTAATAATCAGATGTTCTTCTAAAATTGGGATGCTGCTTCACAGGTCAGGCCCAGCCACTAGAATACAGAAGTCAAAAAAGATGGCAGAGTATGCCCTAGGGCAGTGATGGCTAACCTTTTTGCCATTGCATGCCAAAAGCTGAGGGAGTGCAGGGTGGTCACACGCGCATGTGCCCACACCCATAACTCTATGCACCCTGCCCCTCCCATGCATGCGCACGCGAGCCTCCATGCTCCCCCCCGCTTTTGGCAAGTGATGGCACGGTGGGCTCGATAGGCCCGTTTTTTGCCCTCCCCGGTATCCAGAGGCTTTCTAGGAGCCTGGGCAGGGTGAAAACAGCCTTCCCCACCCCCCGGAGACCCTCCGGAGGCTGGAAACAGCCCATTTGCCGACTTTCAGTGGGCCCAGAAGGCCCAAAAATCAATTGGCCAGTGCACGCATGCATGATGGAGCTGAGCTAGGGCAACGCTTGCGTGCCCACCAATATGGCTCCGTGTGCCAGTTGTGGCACGTGTACCATAGGTTCGCCATCACGGCCCTAGGGTGGTGGGGTGAGGAGACAAGTTGTGTAACAGTATGAGGCTCTAGGATTCTCAGGATTGTACTTACTTTCCTAACACAATTTGCTGAAATATGCTAGTTGTTTCAGCTTTTCAGAAATTTACAAAGCAAGAGAATCCAAATGTAAAAGTGTTCTTTTTTGGGGGGAGAGGAATCCAGGAAGAATGTAGCAAAACCAAGTAGGCAATGAGGCCTAAATGTCAGAGAGAGACACAGAAAATCCATCTCCAATTTAATTTGCAAACCACAACTCACTTTAGCTTTTACACAATTAAACAGCTTACCATAAAACCTCAATGACATTGTTTCAATACTGACCTGTAAATCAATAGGGTTGAAGATGCAGGAAAGCTTCTATTGTAAAATATTTCAGAAGGTATTGGGTATGATCAAGAGGCACTAAAATACAGCCAAACTGTTCCAGCCTCCTAATTTGTTCCTTGCTAAAAAAAAAGTTAGCTTTCAGTCCAATTGCTTATTTATCCCTGCCTAATATTCTATATGTTTATGAAATCACTGTATCAGTGAGGGGGAGGGGGAGGAATATAGTTTGAAAAATATTAATACTCTCGTCTTGACAGCATTTTTCCAATGGTGTATACCCTTTCCTTATTGTCACATTTATATTTACACTTAATCATACTGTAGATGTCTATGGAGATTCTCAGTCATCCAGGTCATGTTTCTCCCAAAGGTGTATTTTCAAGAGGCAACTGGACGTTCCTGTTTTTTCTTTGAAGACATTTCACCTCTCATCCAACTTCTTGAGCTGAAGAAGCTTCTTGGATGAGAAGCGAAACATCTTAAAAAAAAAGTTGAGGTTAGTTGTCTCTTGAAAAAGCACCCTTGGGACTTAATTATAGACCCACCGGAAAATTTTACCACTTACCAATTTATTTAACAAACTTATATGGCTGCCCAACCAATACATAGGTGATTCCAGGCGGGATATATTAAAAACCCATAAACATCCCTCAACCCCAATGGCAGCAGGAATCATTAAGAATGCCTCAACTTTTCTACAGATCTCAAAAAGTTATCCCAGAAAAATATCAACAAATACAGTGCATAATATATACCAGATTCAAGGAAACAATGAGCCAAAGATCCTCAAATAAAACAAATAAAATCTCACCTAGGATATTACCTTAAAAAACCTCTCTTTCCATTCAGAAGCATGTAGTGTACACAGTACCTCTTTCTCCCATTTTTTTCTTACAACCATCCTGTGAATTGGGGTGAGTTACTGCTTGAGGGCTAACTGGTAAGCTTTGAAGCTGGGTCTCTCCAGTATCAGTCCAGCACCCTAACACCTATGCACATTACATTGTTTATTACAGCTGCCAAAGTACACACTTGTATATATGCATGCTATCACAAAGGCTGATGCATGAATGTTATCACAAAGGGTTAATATAATGCTGCTTACAACAATTGGTGGGCTTCATCTTTTTGACTTCAGAGCATAAACACATTCAGGTAAATGGCTGGCCACACTTTGTGCCCCCTCTAACTATCCATTCTTTTAGAAACATCAGTGATATACAGTAAATCTAAACATTTTGGCTTACATAACATGTTCTTCTGAAAGGGGGCAGCCTTCACCATGTGAGCTGCTGTAATCAGTGGTGGGTTTCTACCACTTCACCCCAGTTCAGGCAAACCGGTAGTGGCTCCGCCCACCCACCTGGACGTCATCACGGATGCTCTGCATATGCGCAGAAGGTTCTGCGCATGTGCAGAAGTGCCAAGCGCGTGCTCACAATTCCGAACTGGTAGTGAAGGTAAGTGGAACCCACTACTGGCTGTGATCCATTATATTCCTCCACATATTATATGGTATCAGGTTTGTACTTATGTACAGTACCATTGCCTGCAATGTAGAAGTGCATGGCTATAAAACCAGAGCTAAAATATAATCTATACGGAGTAAACTATGTGAAAAAGTCAAGCTTTTTCATACCAAATTTAAAGTAATTTGTTTTTTAAAACACCCAAATCTATTCCAGGGTATTAATTTTATTCACCGGATTCAAAGCATACAAAGCACTGGGCACACTTCTAAGTTTGCCATAATTTTTTGTCAAACCTAAAATGAACTGGGAGGAGAACAGTGACTTATGTTAAAGTCGCTTTATGTTAAAGCCTGGAGTATACATATATACACTTTCTTCAGATGAAATGTGGAAGGAGGTTACAAACGTTCAGATAAGACTTTCACAGGTGTTATTATTTCAAATTCTTCAGAGAGTTGCTGAAATTAACTATAATTTATCAACACAACATTCCATTTTTACTCCTTTCATAAGTACTAGACTATACTAGTGCTTAACAGAAACTGAGAAAAATTAGATAGCTTTTAGAGTAACAAACATCAGACATAATATTTGCTGGTATACTATTATTTCAAAAGTTAATAGAATCTAAGTTGGATTGTTTCACTGGGTTGACAAAAGGTTTTGTGGAAAGCCCCCACTCCTAGAAGAATGAAATATTTTGAGAAATATTAAAAACGGCAGAATATTATATTTCCCTAGATGAGAAATGGAGAACCATGCTTTTTAGAGGCAGGAAGCAGCCCCAATCTCCCTGCCCCTAAGCAGAAACTAAGGAGGCACCTTTTAGAAATGCAGATTTGGTAATCCATTCAAGGCAGGATATTTTGAAACTCCCTGTAGCAAAGTCTGATCAACGGCAGAATGGTAGGATTAGCCCGTCACTCAAGATCCAAAACAGGACAAAGCCATTAAGTTACAATAGCAGAGGTGGTATTCAGCAGGTTCTGACCACTTCCGGAGAACCAGTAGTGGAAATTTTGAGTAGTTTGGAGAACCGGTAAATACCACCTCTGACTGGCCCCACCCCCATCTATTCTCTGCCTCCTGAGTCCCAGCTGATCAGGAGGAAATGGGGATTTTGCAGTAACCTTCCTCTGGAGTGGGGAGGGAATGGAGATTTTACAGTATCCTTCCCCTGCTACATCCACAAAGCCACGCCCACAAAGCCATGCCACGCCCACAAACCTATGCCCACAGAACCGGTAGTAAAAAATTTTGAATCCCACCACTGCACAATAGGAATTGCCCAACACCCTTTCAGAACACAAACTCCTTCATTGCATCACCCCAGAGCAATCCAAACTTCACCTGGGAGCTCAGATAAACAATAAACCAGAGGCTGACCAAATTAGCTCAGACAAGCATCTAAGATTTGCATTTCCTCTTTTGCCTATAGAGCCAGCTATGACCCCTACATAACCCCTACATGACCCCATAGGAATCTGACAATAGCCAATAGAATACACGTTCTTGCATAGGAACAGGAAGCTCAAATACAAAGCCCAAAGAAGGTATAACCCCTCCAACCTCCATTTTGTTGGCTGCCCACAAACCCATGTGGTTCTGCTTCATCAATAAACCATCTTTCCAATCAGCCTCCATGTTTCCAGTGTCTTTCTCCCAGCTTGGAACTGAACCAGATGGATATTTCTTCCAACACTTTCATTTACAATATGTCACCCCGTGGAAATAATATGCCCCTGAAAATTAAGATGCATATGCATGAAAGCCAAATTTACAAGTGTAATACTTTTTAAACAGCTATTTCATAAAAAACTTTGAATCACATGGGCTAAAGCCTTCATATTAAAAGTACGCTCAAGTGAAGGTAGGCCTTCACTGTAGCCTATCAAGTTTTTACAGCATCACCTTCTGAAATTATTCTCTGAGCCACATTTAAAAACAAGTAAACAAAACAACTGCTTTCCTATTCTCCTCACCCCAATCCCCAGTCATACTCAGCACTACAGTTTTACTATGTAGATTCTCCAGCAACAGATGACCACTCTACTACATTAGCTTTCTGCATTGACATGCCAATGGGGCGCCTTTCCACAACATCCTTTATTGCACATAGGTTGGATATTATTTTAGCAGAGAGAATCTTCCTCGGAAAAACACAGTTGCATAATAGCCCTGCAGACAAACAGCCAGTAAACAAGCAAATCAAAATTGCTTCCCCTTGCCACCAAGGCACATACTGTCTTGCCTATAAAACTGTCACAAAGACCCAAAGCCAAAGCTTAGTAAAATAACACCACCCAAAAAATTAAAATCAATGGAATCAACCATAATATTTACAATTTCTCCATATTCCTTATTATGCTCTGAAACCATTGTGTATAAATAAATATGCACAAATGCCATCTCTGGAACATAACATGAGCTATGGCACCATGCAATTATATCTTCTCATGTGTGTTGTGTTGCACACGAGATGCTTGCAGATAAACAGATGATGCCACAGAAAGGATTGTAAAACTGACTCTGGATAGCTCTTCCCTTAAAACGGTCAGAGATGGCCTTCACAACTTGGTTGGATTGTATTATAAAATTTACACATAAAATTTAAATCTTAAACTTACATCTTAATTATTATATCTTAATTAATTACATCTTTATTATTAATGCATTAATTAATTATTAAAATTTATTTTAACCAAAATGAATAATTCTCTTTCTCTGATCGCCTAACCCCTTAGCTGGGTTAATTATAACTAAAAAGTAATTTTCAAAAGTTCACAAAACAGATAAAAACCTAGACAATCTAATATTTCATTCAGTATGAACATTTATAGCCCTCAGGGTCAAGAAGAGTGCTTTAAAATACAGTAGCAAAATGAGCCTGGAAATGAGACAGCAAGTACAATAAAATTTAGAAGTCACATGTTTAAATATTTCATTATGTTTTGAGAGTGTTAAGAGCTGTTTTTTTACAACCATCAAATAAACCATTCTAAGACAGAAATAATTAAAGAAGCTGTACAATATGTCCATTGAGTGTGTTTGTGTCCACCATAACAGAAATTGGGATTAACAGGGCCATTAGTTTTATTTTTCTCTCAAATGAAACAAAACAAATAACATCCTAGCTAGCCATATCTTTTTGGGACCTGCTTGTAAATGCCATTTTACAAAGTAATCTACAAAACCCTAGCGAGATTCCAATTTACCATAGCTATCATTAATTTTATTTGTTTTTTCAAGTTATGAATAGTAATAGCAATAGCAATTATATATCTATATCTGTATTTGTATTTGTATCTATATCTATCTATCTATCTATCTATCTATCTATCTATCTATCTATCTATCTCCATACTAATGGTTAAAGCCAGTTTGGTGTAATGATTAAGACAGAAGCTAGAAACCTGGAGACCATGAGATTAAGTCTACTTTAGACACAGTGCCAATTAGGTGATCTTGGACCAGTTGTTCACTCTCTCTCAGCCCTAGGAAGGAGGCAATGGCAAACCACTTCTAAAAAACTTTGCCAAGAAAACCACAGGAACTTATCCAGAAAGTCTCTGAGAATCGGACACAATTGAACAGAATTGGGGTATGTGTGTGAATGGATGATCTTCTGTCAACAGCCTTATTTAGCAATTTCTACATTCTAGTTCAGTTATAGACAATAACATATATTTCTTGTTTTGTTCAACAGTATTAAGCCAGAATCATGGTTTATTGAAGAAATGCAGCATTTCCAGAAATTTTGAAACAACAACAACAAAAAAAATAAGTTTACTATTTTCTTAGATGATAAGGGAAAAACTTAGCTATATGCAATATTATTTTAGTATTTTTATCTTTATCAATAAACAAATGCTGCTGCCAATGTCTAGTTTGTTCTAATGCTTTGAATCCTGTTAAAAACTAGAAAAGATCTCTCTAACCTACAAATTAAAAGATCTCTAGAAGAAAGAAGTACGTGTGCAAACGAGGGTTTCCTTAGAGAAAGAACTTCTTTGTTGTCCTTGCATTTCAGAAATGTATTGTCTAGCTTGCCTTCTCTACATGGGACAATGCCAATCACAAACCATATGGAATAATGTAATGATGTCATAAAGCAAATGCATTCATTAACACTTCTTATAAACTATGTTATTGTTGTAAAGGCTGGTTGAGAATGTATGAAACTTTTTCATAATTTTTTTTTAAAATCAGTATTTCATAGTTCCTTTGCCCCATTTTATTAATGGATACCATTTATTCCTTTAGCAGGAAAAGATGAAAAAGTATACTTTGCAAATTTGCAATTCTCTGTCCATGGTTCTGTGAAATCCAATACAGTAGACTTAATGACTACATCAACTCTTGATTTGCCAAATAGAATCCAACATGCCTGGGATGGTACGTTTTTTAAAAAAAAATTATTTCACTGGTGAAACCAAGTAAGTCTCTCCAAAGAGTGTGATTTTCATTTATTTTCTTGGATGGATGGATGGATGGATGGATGGATGGAAGGAAGGAAGGAAGGAAGGAAGGAAGGAAGGAAGGAAGGAAGGACTGACTCTCAACAGCCAAGTAGGAAACCCAGATGACATCTTTTCAACTATATACAGAGCTGTGGTGGTGCAGTGGTTAGAATGCACTACTGCAGGCTACTTCTGCTGACTGCTGGTTGCCAGCAGTTCGGCAGTTCGATTCTCACTGGCTCAAGGTTGACTCAGCCTTCCATCCTCTGAAGTCGGTAAAATGAGGAGCAATACGCTGACTCTGTAAACCTTTTAGAGATAGCTGCAAAGGACTGTGAAGCTGTATATAAGTCAAAGTGCTATTGCTAGATTCTTTGCAACAAACTCTAAAACTTGAGTTTAAAATCAATCTATATTTCTTTATAGTGCTTGCATTTAATGCACAGCTGTTGCTAGAATGGCTTCATTAGTCTCTGTTTACTTATCAGGGATTTGTCTTCTTGAAGGCCTACCCGCTTCCAGTTTTTGTTCGTTTATTTGTTTTTGAAAGAGGCATGATGCATTAGGAGTTCTGCTCTGATATAATACTATGCTCCTTCTTCCTGATGAATGCTTGCTTATGGAAATAATTCCTACTGGTCACAAAATCTAATCAGAAATGATTAGATAAAACTCAAAGCTTATTAAACATAAACCTCCCAATAATAGAACAGCATTATCCTACAGCCTTTCTGGTTTCCATATTCTCCATTGCTGCTATTAAATGTACTTCTGCAATTTCTCAGATGAAGCATTAGGGATTATGGCAGCTTCTTTTCATAAAATGCTCAATACTACAAAGAAGCAGCGCCAAAGAATATATGTCTATGAACTACTTGGTTTTATTTATTTATTCATTCATTCATTCATTCATTCATTCATTCATTCATTCATTCATTCATTCATTCATTCAATTTATATACCGCCCTTCTCCTAGTGGACTCAGGGCGGTGCACAGCCAGAACTAAAATACATAACAATACAAAATTTAAAATTAATTAAAAGAATTATATACTTTGGCCCTAATTAAAACAATGCGAATTAAAACCCATTAACAAATTAAAACTAAACAATTAAAAACTAAAAAAGGGGGCGGGGTTCACGCCAGCCCTGCTTGCTGGAAAAGAAGAGTTTTCAGGGCACGGCGAAAGACCGGGAGATCCGATATCCTTCTTATCTCCGGGGGCAAATCGTTCCAGAGGGCGGGAGCTCCCACAGAGAAGGCCCTCCCCCTGGGGGTCACTAGCCGACATTGCCTGGCCGACGGCACCCTGAGGAATCCCTCTCTGTGGGAGCGTACTGGTCGGTGGGAGGCTATCGGCGGCAGAAGGTGGTCCCGCAAATACCCAGGTCCTATGCCATGGAGCGCTTTAAAGGTGGTAACCAACACCTTGAAGCGCACCCGGAAGACCACTGGAAGCCAATGCAGCTCACGCAGGAGAGGTGTCACATGGGAGCGACCCCTCGCTCCCATAATCCCCCACGCGGCCGCATTCTGCACCAGTTGGAGCCTCCGGGTACTCCTCAAGGGGAGCCCCATGTAGAGAGCATTGCAGTAGTCCAGGCGGGAAGTGACGAGTGCCTGTTTTAAACATGTAGTAGCTAGAAACAGGACCCAGTTTGTGGGGGCAATAAGCTGACTTTGTATAAATATACAAAAGTATGAAGGCTATTGCTTAACGCATTGTAAGCCGCCCTGAGTCTCCGGAGAAGGGTGGCATATAAATCAATTTTTTTTTAAAAAAAAACAAACATAACATACTTTGAACACAATTGCAATTTGAAATTCTAATAAATGTAGCCTGAATGCTCAGGCTGTGAACTAGGTCAGAGGGTATGTCCACAATGGGGTTGATTCTGTATATATACAACATGTTTGTTTCCTTCTCCTGCTCTGGTAGCTATCACTTTTTACTTTACTTTTGCATTTTGATATTGTACTTGGTGGTGGTGGTTGCTTTTTATTTTCCCAAGTCATCCAGAGTTAGTGACGATGTGTGGCTCTAGAAAATGAAATTATAAATAATTTGAAAAGTGTTATAAATGCAATAGCTGAAAACCACTACTTTCCAATTCTTAATATTTAAAAGACTAGCAAAATTGTTGTGCTACAATATATTTTGAATCCACTTCATTGGACAGAATTATCTTGATGTAATAGGTAGATGGCTGAGAACAGTCAACAGCGTTAATTACCTTCTACTTTCCCAAAAGAGTTATGACACATTCTTGTATAAGTCACTTGATTAACACATCTAGTATGAAAAGAACCTTTGCTTCTGTTCAAGAAACTATTGAATAGCTCAGCTTCTCCATTCTAATTTTTAAAAATTGTTCTCAAGTGTTGTCAATATAAGGTCAGTGATACTGCTGAGGTCTTCCCTCACCAGTTCAATATTTCCACTAATTTTGGCTTAAGTACTTAGCAATGAATTATTCCCAGTAGAGTTGCAATATACAATCAGGATTTCAACATTTTCATTCACTGGGCTTTTAAAGGCCTTCAATATATCAAGACTAAATTACATAGTTGCTCCAGAAAATGAGCCCTCTACTTCATCAAATGTCTCCAAAGTGGCAATTGGCTCACTGCCAAAAACTTTCCATACATGCACTCTAAAAGCAGCCCACAGGGAGGCAAGTTGAGAAAATACTAACCACTGTATTCATTTCCCTGAATTAGAATCTCAGCTTTAATTCAAGTAGCTTTAGCAGAGCACTCTTCTGTTTTGTACTTCTGCACAAAAAAGTGTCTACCAACCTCAACTTAAAATATTTGCACACTCAACATGATGCAGTTATGGATTTGCTATGTCTAAAGACATTTTAGGGCAGTTAATTCTGCCCATTTATAGGCACATGAATAGAATCCCTATGTCTAAAGTGGGGAGAAATGTTATACAAAGTCACCTTCTATAGCTGCAAAAGGGAAACATGATCGGAAAGAATTGTAGATGGAGGGCTGCACTGTCATAACTCCAGAGAACACACACGCTGATAATATTTCTTTCCTTTTCTCTAGCCATCACTGAAGGCTGCCAGCTACCCTTCATTCTTCACAAACAGAGGTTATCATTCTCAAATCTGAACTGTTTCCTGTCCTTCTGCCCCACCTGCACAGACAGCCAAATTGATTTCAAAGTTGTAAGTTATTCAGGAGCTGAGCTGTTCAGCTAGGCCTTAGAGGATTTGCTCTCATAATGGCTTGGATGCAAATTCCGTCCTTCAAATCTCTCCTGAATCAATTATTACAAGATTAATTTAAACATGTCCACCTGGGGTGCCTTTGTAACATGAGCTTCATATTAAAAGGGGGGAAAATCACAAATTGAGGAAATAACTTGAGCAATTTCCGATTTTGTGGAAATGTGGGATTTTAATTTTATATTGCAAGGAAAAAAATCCCCCCCCCCAAAAAAAACGGAACAGAGAAGATGATAATAAGGTGAACTTTCAATTGCTCTTTGAAAATTAGCAAAATGCAATAAACTCTTAATACATTGTCAATAAAGCCAAACAACATAAGTGTTCCATACCAAACCAAATTCCCTTTAATCTTAGCGGCCAACTGAGTGAAGGCCAGCAGAAAACATCTAACAAACTTCAAAGCTATGAAGCAGGTGGGATCAGATATAATAGTGGGTTAGCTATATCTATGTATCATATATATATATTCTTTTTAATTCATAGGTTCAAATGTATAATACTTTTTTAGTCAGGTTTTTTTCCTATGTAGATCAAGTTGTTCACTTGGCCATGGTGGCAACTTGATCTACATAGGAAAAAACCCTGACTAAAAAAGTATTATTTATTTATTTATATATATATATATATATATATATATATATATATATATATATATAATATATATATACACACACACACACACACACACACACACACACACACACACACACAAAATACAAACAGATAAAGAGCAATTATCTTCACACTTTAAAACAGGAGGGAAGAATTACACTTTAATCCTTCAGAAAAACCAATCGAAAAGATTTTCAGTAAAGTGTTTAATATAGTTTCATTATTTTATACATCAGTTATTATATCAAAAAATATGTTGGCATTAATAAGTACTTAAAAAATATTGATTGCAAATGAAAGGAAAGGGTGGGGGGAAAGTGGGGAATGGGAGGAAAGGCCTGGAAAATCATATTACAAACAGAAGAGCCCTCGAAACATTGATCCTTTGCTTGAAAGTTTTGTTCCTTAATCATTTGTCAAGAATAAAGTAATTCAGACATTGTTCAACTCTAGTAATTCAAGTATATTTGCTTCTTTTTAATATTATATGGGTTGTTCGTTTTTGGCAAGCCTCCTCCATCTTTCAAAATTCCACATTGCTTATCTTGATAAATTCTAAATA